GAGGTCATGATGCGATCTGGGTGATCGTGGATCGACTTACAAAATTTGCTCATTTCTTGCCAATTCAGTCAACTTATAACTTAGAACAACTTGCACAAATTTATATGAGAGAGATTATGGGGCTTCATGGTGTTTCAGTTTCTATCGTATCAGATAGAGACCCGAGGTTTACTTTAAAGTTTTGGATAAGTCTTCAAAAAGCTATGGGTACCAAGTTAACATTTAGTACTGTATATCATCCTCAAACTGATGGACAATCTGAACGAATTATCCAAGTTCTTGAAGATATGTTGAGAGTTGTGTCCTAGATTTGGGTGTTAAATGGGAAAATCATTTGCCGTTAGTTGAATTCGCATACAACAATAGCTTTCAAGCCACTATTGGCATGGCACCGTAGGAAACTTTGTGTGGTAGACGTTGTCATTCGCCATTATATTGGGATGAAGTTGGTGAAAGGAGAATTTTGAGTTCAGAACTAGTCGAGAAGACTGTGGAGGCTATCTATAAAATTAGATCAAGAATTAAGACTGCCCAAGATTGTCAAAAGAGCTATGTTGACAAAAGGAGAAAAGAATTGACTTTCGAGGTTTGAGAGAAAAAGTATTTCTCAAAGTGGCGCCGATGAAGGGAATACTACGATATGGAAAGAAAGTGAAACTAAGTCTTGGATTTATCGGTCCACTTGAGATTCTTAAAAAGATTGGGAGTGTGGCATATCGTTTAGCATTGCAACCTGAACTATCAGAGTGCACAACGTATTTCACGTTTCTATGTTAAGAAAGTATATCTCGAATCCTAGTCATGTAGTGAATGCTCGAACACTAGATGTCCAGAGTGACATAACGTACAAAGAAGCTCCTATAGTGATTCTAGAGAGAAAATATCATGTTTTGAGGAATTGAAAGGTTCCAATAGTCAAAGTCAAGTAGAGTAAACATGGTGAGGATGAGGCTACTCGAGAAAGAGGAGAAGACGTTTTGGCCAAGTATCCAAATCTTCTTAAACAGTAAGTTAAATTTAGATGACGAAATTATTTTAAGTGGGGGAGTTGTAGCGAATGAAAAAAAAAGTTTTGTTTTCGTTTCAAAACAAAATTTTCTTAGAACTCAAATATAATTGGGTGATATTATTTCGTTACTACGACACCTCCTAAAGAGTTTAAATTAAAGCTTTGATCACGATAGTAAAGTTTCGCGTACTTGTTTTTAAAAATTTTGTAAAGTGTCGAAATCTCATTTAGACGACAAAATTTTATGTTGTTACATTATTTTTAACGACACATTTTATATTAATTGCTACCTTAAATTTTAAGAATTAGATACGCTTATTATACTCAAGGTCAATTCCATTATCTTGATTTCTTCTTGCAGTTTTTCCATCCACTTAGTTTATTTAACTACCCCACTTTCTATATTAACTTCCATTTTATTTGTTAACTACCAAAATATATATGTATGAATATTAAACTGTTTTTTTTTAATAAATTTGGAAGTTATGTTGCACGTACGAACCCTCATTTGTAAAAATTCCAACTTACCAATTTAATAACTTCCACTTTTCCCAATGCCAAAACCGTCCCTGTTCATCCTTTGCATTTAAAGAATTACATTTCAAATTTTTAACCACGCCCATTTGTAACTTCCATTTTAAAATCATTTTCCCACTACCACTTCATTTGGAATTAGAAAATAATAACCGTCCCTTTTCATTTTAAAGGCCATAAGTTAAATTCGATAACTCAAATTTAAACAACTTTAGTCACGTTTTCTCTCCCACTTTATTTTGCTCTTTTCCATAGATTAAGGAACCTTTAAATCTGAAAATTCTTTGGAGAGGACGCTAAAAGTACGTTGCATTTTATTTTTTGGACACGAAAGGATCAAACTCCAAATATTAAGGTATGGGTGTTTGCAACACTTTTGTAAATGATGTAAGAATTATTTGTTTTCATTTTGCATCAAACCTGTTATCGTGTTATTCATGAAGTAAACGATTGAAGGTGACACTAATGACCAAATTTTGTATGTGTTGATATGTTACTCATGAAGGAAGCACCGTTTGGTGTTTCAAATAAGAGAAAGGTATTGATGGTGATACCAATGACCAAAGTTTGCATTTATGAATATATTTCAGTGCTTTCGTACTGAGTATTATTCGTGATACTCATCCCTATTAAAATTTTACATGTTGAATCGAGGCATGGTAGTGGTTTGGCAGAGTGACAAGTGCTCGATGATTTAAAAAGCTGTCAACTTTCTAGTAAAATTTCCAGTTTGTGTAAATGTGTTTTGAATACTTAGATGGCACTTTTAAAAATGTTTAGATGTCTATTTCATCTATTTTTATATGCATTTTATGTCGATTATAATTAAAAATTGTTGTATTTGACTATACATGAAGTTTAAGTATTGCTGTAATGAAATTTCAGATTCTGTCCTTCTACTCAAAGTAGCATACTTGGGCTACAGTATATGTTTTAGAGTGAAATTAGTGGGATTTGAAAGATTTATGAGTCTTCTAATAGTGGCCATTGGAATTATCCAAAAATATTGTCTAGAGAAAAAGTTATGCCCGTTGTAGTAAACTGTGTTAGGTCAGATCCGAATTTTATGTCCAATATAGCCGAACAATATTTTCATGCTTCGAACATTAGCGTTGAGACCCCGAATTTTTATATGTTGTACAAATATGAAAGTTTTAGTCTCTATTGAAATTTTAAAATTTTTAGTCATCGTTTATTAGACCAAACATATTTTTCTTTCCACTGTTGCGAAGCTTGTAATTACTTAATTTTTCCCAAATGTTTTCCAAAAATCAAATCTTACCATAAGTGTCACATGGACAAATGTCTCTCATTATTTTTCATATATTTCGAACTCCAAAATTTTTCTCATTTACATTTTTTTTTTGTTGGGGTTAACATCAAAGGGGTCAAACCAAAGAAATATTGAATTTATTTTATAACGTTTCAGGTTCCGAAAGTTCGGGGTGTTACACTCACGGCCGATGAGGGAGTAGAATTGCTCTGTGAGAGTGTGGTGTGTTTGGGCGTGAGATGTGAAGGGTAAAAGTGGAAAGTCGGTGAGAATGAATTGAATTTGTACCGATGTTTTGCCAAATGATTTTCAAATATTAAATTGGTGAACAGTGCTTCAATGATCCAAAAAATAATACTTAGCATGCCCGAACATCCACTTAATAAAATCTACTAAAAGTCTAGTTTTTATCCAAACCAAAATGAGGATTAAGTACTTTAAAATTATTCTCAATGAACAATCTAGCCAAGCATGAAACACATTTTTTTATTTAGCTTTTGAGCTCGAAGCAAATTTCAACATTTATTTTTCTTCTCTCTTATTTCCTAAGGACTTCATATTTTATTTGGAATAGCTTCTACTTTTGTATCTTGTATGGGAGCTTTTAAAGAAACCACATTAGCTAACTCCTCCTTGAAACGCTTGTAATCAATATAGCATTTTTAGAAAATGATCCCAATAGGCTCAAAAATAACTTCACGATCTCAAAAGTCACTTTTAAACTTTTTAAAAACGTATCAAACAAAAATTCACTAAACTATCAACTACGTAAAAGGAGCTCAAGCAACACTTTCAATTGTGATAAGGCATAGGAAGAATTTACCTATTCAAATATTGAATTTAAAAGGATCTTTAAGCATATCTTCAGAAAGATTATTAATAACTTTTTAGAAGGAATAGTGGTGAAGATCCTGAAATATGAAAATAATAATTATAAGTAATTTCGAATTGTGGTTGAAATAAAAATTGGACTTTAACTGCATAATAAAAATAACTTCTCAATTACTAAAAATATTTTCCCAAATAAAGGTTAATTCACATCTAAACAAGATAGATAATGAAACTCCTATCATATTCTCGATTTTTTTTCTCTTCAATCGGTAGCTCTCCTATTAATCATCGATTGTTGAATTGTAACTTGATACGGGTTATTTATGTGCTCGACACATCCATTTCAAATGAAGTTAACTCAATTCATCCTCGCTCTAAGAATGTAAAAATACATTTGACAAGTATTTATAAACACGAGCCAAAAATGGACGACTAAAGACATGGCTTAGTTTCGGGATAGTAACAGGGCGGGATGGGATTCCCTGCCCCATCGGGCATTTTCCAACCTCGTACTCACCCCCTTACCCGTTTAAAGCAAGGCGGGGAGGGATGGGGCACTTACGTACCCGTTTAATTTTTTAAATAGTTTTTGATAATTCATTTTAATGTCCACGTTCATTCAAGTGAAATAATAATATAGTTATTAAGTACTTGTTTGTACCCCATTATTTGTAAGTAATGTATTATGGAATAGTAATTGATATTGATATGTGTGGTTAAAAAATAAGAATTTTTTTTTTATTTACATGTAATATTATTTTAATAAAGAATGTATAATTGAAAATAAGTATTGTAGAAAAAATAATGTGGTAGAATGTCGAAAAATGGTAGACAAACAAAGCCTAAATTTTTAATTAATTAATTTATGTTTAAAAGTTAAATTATTCAAATATATTTGATAAACTAAGGCTTTTATTGTTTATCATATTCTTTAGAAAATCTTAGTTATCATTTTCTATTAGAATTAATGAAATTTCGTGAAATTTTTCTAAAAAAATAATAATAATAAGTGGGATCGGCCCCAGTTACCAGTATCTGCCCCGTACCATCTCGAGACAGAACTTTTCATCTCATACTCGACCTGATTATCCGATTAAATGAGTAATTTCCGTCCCATTCAAGATAGGTCCAAAAATATCGAATTTGACAGGTATTTTTCACATCCCCGACTTAGCCCAGAGTCTTTCTTTTATCCTTCACCAGGCAGAGACTAGTTTGACTCTAATATTTTGGCCAAAAATCATGGTCAAGGAATAATCCTGTGTTTCCTTGCACATCGCTATTCACTACCAACTTCTTCTCAAGTTTAAAAAGCTGCGCAGGTGCATGCGCAGTACAAATGCAATTTCATTTCAATTTATGCTTAGATTTATTTCAAAATTAAAATTTTTTAAACCTGAACTCTGCATTTCAATTATCGGAATTCGTTGAATTCACATATCGATTTTCTATCGCTTCAGGTGTTAACTGTAAATTAATTTTGTGTTTTGGGAGTTTAAATTCTCTCTCGTTAGGTTTTGAAGTATAATTTATAGGTAAGTAAAATTTATACCTTGTACGCAGATATCTGCAATGGCTTCTTACAGGCCATACCATCCGCGGCCACAGTCAAGTTTCCGTCCTCCACTGCCAGCGCCGCCGAGTCGAAGTCTTCTTCAGCCTCCGGCACCGCCGCAAACGCAGGGCAATCCAAATCCTCAGAACTGGGGCACTTATAGCGGCAAAGAGGGTTCGGCATACAATCATAACTATTCACAGATGAATCCGAGCTCAAATTATCAAAATGCATGCTACGGACCATCATCCCAACAGCATTTTAACCATCCACCAGGAAACCAACCCCCGCCACCGCCTCAACAGCAGCAGTTTCCGTATCAGCCACCAGCGCTGCCATCAGAGTCTTCTTCATACCCACCACCGGTTCCAGCTCATCCAGCCTATTACCCACCTTCTCAGTATTCCCAATTCAATCAGCCTCAATCTTTGCAGCCTCTACAACCATCACCTCCTCCTCCTCCATCTCCACCACCACCTCCGCCACCACCGCAGCCCTTGTCTCCTCCCGCACCCCCTTCTTCTGTACTTCCTGCCAGATTCAGCACAGAGAACAGACATGCTGGTGAGAAATCAGGGTATAAAAATCTAGAAGCTCCATCAAACCAACAACAAAAGCCCACCTTGCCGCCTTTTGGCCCAGTTCAAAGATCAGGTAGGCACGGGCAACCACGTAGGGTTGAGACAGAAGAGGAGAAAAGGTTGAAAAGGAGGGAGTATGAAAGACTAAGGCAAGAGGAGAAACACAGGCAGCATTTGAAGGAGTCTCAATATAAAGTGCTGCAGAAGACCCAAATGATGGCCACTGGGGTGAAGGGCCACGGGTCCATTAGCGGGTCGCATATGGGGGACAGGAGGAGTACTCCATTACTAAGCGGTGACAGAATTGAAAACCGATTGAAGAAGCCAACAACTTTTATCTGCAAAATGAAGTGAGTGCATTTGAGCTGTCAAATTGGATTTTACTGTTAATTTTACTTTAATTTTGCCTCTTGATTTGCAAAATATGGTTGTTTAGTAAAATCCAGGAGCTATTATTGTGAATTCTTTGATATTATTTTATTGTTGCGTGATTTAATGCGATGTAAGGCATTTAATTGTATCCTGGGCTATTCTTTTTAGTAATTGCCACATTTAAATTGATTTCACGAATCTAGGATACAAGCACGCACACACATTGTTGTGTGTGAGTTCGGTTGTTTCCTGTTGTATTGGTGTTTATCTAGTGTGTTGTGTGTATTCAAGATGTCAAAATTATAAGGTTGCATATGCTAACCTACAGTTACAATTATTTTGCTTTACATTTGCATTTGATTTAGGTAAATTTGTGCTTTTCATGTTTCAATTGAATGTGAATTGGGTGGCGTATCATTTTACTGATATTTCTGGCTCACGAAATCTTGGTGATCTTCTCTATTCTATTTTTTGAAAATATATTCTATTACCTTCATTAACAATAGTGAAAAATATTGGACTAATGTTACTATTGCAACTTCCTGAATATTAGTGGATACAATATGTCAAATTGATAAAACCTAATGCGGGAATGTTGGGTGGTTGGTGGTTTAAGAAGTCTCTCAACTCGGGAATCTTACGCATTGGAATGGTAGAAGACCTGGATATTTTTCCATATATGTGTCGTGTTGGATGACTAGAGCATGCTGCTTCTGTCTTTCCACGTTGAATCCCAAGTGTTTCATATTGCGTTTAGTCCTACTGGAGACTGAATCTGAGTTTAAGTTTAGGTGCGGGTCTAAGCTACAAAAAGGGATTGGGAATTCAGGAAGCTCTCATTTGGTTGCCCTTTTTTCTAGTGACTTTTTCAATTAGTTTTATGTCTTTATCATTCATTCAATATCCAGTTATAGAGATAAGTTGCTTTTAAGGAAGAAAGATTATTCTGTCCGTTACATTTTATGACAATCCCTTATTATCCTTCTCATTATATTTCTTCTATCTCATGCATTGCGCATCCCTTGCTTCAAATTAAAACCCTTCATGCACTGCTGTCATCACTTCTCACCCTCCTACCTTTTTGACCTTTTTATCATTCTACCTTATAAACTGCCACCGCCGACAGCCACCTAATACTGCCATTTGGTAACCACTCCTTCCCCTGTTCTCGTGAATTCCCTTCTCTAACGTTTGGCATCACAGTGTATTTACTCAAGTCACCATTCCAACATTAAAGTCTTTAAGCGGTCAATTTGTGTTCCTCATCGATAAGAATAACATTTTTTGTATAAATACTATAAGTTTGGTCAGATCTAGGTTGAACAAACATGGGATTGGTAGATAAAGTACCTAAGATCCTAGGTTTCACATCGGAAGTCTTCCTTTGATAAGCAAACAAGTCCTAAGGTGTCACGGAAACAGAAATTGCAGACATCAGATTTCTTGTGTTATGTCGGGTAGAGAAGAGTGGTACATGCATATGATGATGTAAATAATTTCTTGTAGATATTGCAGGTCTGCATGGGATTTCTTTCTTTTCTTGATATTGCTGTGAGATTGAGAATGTATAATTATGTGTTTTAATTATTTGATTTGGAAATTTAAACTTTATTTTTTATTTATTTGTCTTATTGGTTTTCACAGAGGTTGTATGCATTTTTGTTTGGGTCTCTCTGAATTAATGATACCCCCTTGCAAAGAACCATGCACCTGACCTATTGTTGCGGTGGACTTTCATATGGAACATCTTGTTTTAACTATTAGATTTGGAGAATTTACACTTCATGTATTCATCATTCTTTTTTTAATTTTCAAGGAGGTTGCATGGTACCCTCTAAATTAATGATTTCTTCTTGTTTGTTGTTACTAAGTACTAACTATGCAACTTCACTTAAGGTTTTCATGGACTTTGTAATGAGTTCATCCACGTGCCACTCTCTGTTTTGACTGTTTGATTTGGACATTTTACACTTAATCTAGCTCTCTCTCTCTCAGCAACAAGGTATTATGAATCCATGCCTTAGTTCTTTCTAAAATAATGATGGCCTGAATAACCATGTAAAGACTCACTAGAACTGTCATTGCATTTGTGGTTAATTTGATAATTTCTCCTCAATAAAGTAGTTTTAGGACTCATTTCTGGTGTCAATATAATTGTCTGATCAAGAGATTTTCAGCAGACTGCATTTGATTTTTGCTTTTCTTTATATTTTCAATTTCTTTAAATATAATATTCACCAGTAATTTGTACTCTTTGTAGGTTCCGGAATGATCTACCAGATCCGTCTGCAAAGATGAAGCTTTTGAATTTTAAAAATGACCCAGATCAGTATGAAACCTTACTTCTTTATCCTTTAATTTTTATAAGACACTCGGTAGAGAGTATTGTTGTTGCTGATTTAATGCTTGCTGTGCGATTTCCCTAGCTGTCAATGTCATGCTATTGTGTGTCTACACCTCTGCTTTACCAACACTTGTGCTGCTAGTACTCGCTATCAGTTGAAGTCTTCCTTTCTGAGAATAAACAACACATTTTGTGGTTTTTTTTGTGATGATGCTCCCCGTGTTAGCTGAACCACAAACAAAGTGCTATAATTTTTTATAACCATAGAAAGAACTCTTTAAAGCAGAATTTATTCAACAATCAGGGTTTTATGCCCATTTATTTGGTGGAACTGGTTTATTTTAGTTTGACGTGTGATTGGTTTATCAGTTCTGTTCCCAAACTTTGGATTAATTACCAGAATACATATGATTAACTTGTGGAATTGTCCAAGTTTACATAGTATGTAGTGTAGTTTGTCATATTTACATTTGTAATTTATTCAGTCTTTTAAATAATATATTCATGGATTTGTTATTTTTACATTTTGACAACAGGACTTCTAAGAATTGGAACCTACTTAAAAACAATTCTAAATTATGACATGAAACAAATAGGTTACAGTAAGCCTTTGTATAACCTATGCATGGCAATGAATCTAATGATTAATACTTCCTCCTAATGAACAGGCCCCTCACTTCCTTAGGTTTCAGATATATCAGCTAACAGTCCTAAATTCTGATAGTATGTGCCAAACTGCTTCCGTTAATTGTCATCATTTTACCACTTCATCATCAATGCTGCTATGATATCTGTAAATATGTTTGTTTTCTGTCTTACCTATTCAAAGTTGATTGAGGGACCATGTTTTTTCTCAATTGCAGATATGTGCAGAATGCGTTCTTATTTTAAATTTTTATAAGCAGCTTCTCTTTGTGCTTGAAACATTTTTCTGTGTTGCTTAAACATCTATCCTTCAGCTCATCATGGCTGCTGATTAACAAATTGCATTTTTGTTATTGACCTAACTGGTAAAAAAATGAAGGAGTCTTTATATTGATTGTCAAAACTGGCCCTTATGTTTTCTGTTCAACGCTGTCAGCTCATTAAACTGTAGCAGAACAGTTTATTCTTGTCCTCTTGTAATCTGAATTCCTAGTTTTGCTCCTCCGGTTGACATATCTTTTTGATATTGCCATGATAATTTTTTTAGTTCTGACTTTTGGTGTTGTAGATTTGTTCATGAATAGTAGTTGAAGTAAGAGAGGCATTTTTGTTCTGACTGTCCCCAAATAACAATCAACAGGCATACTGCTGGAGCTCTATTTCCCGCCTTTACTTTTATTTTAGAGATCATAATTTAAGCCTGGAGATGCATCAAATAGATAATCAAATCATTGCCAAAACACTAACAACCACCTGGCCGGAAAAATTTCATCAGTAAACAGGAAAAGCAAAATCACTCAACCTGTACTTTTCCTTCCAAACTACGGTGGTAGAGCTCATAAATTAATCCTGCAGATACACCAAATACACGATTACGTCGTTGGAGAAGAATCACAAGCCTCAGCTATATGTCGAACCGGACCTTGGGATACCACTCGACCTTCTTGATCTGAGTGTATACAAGTAAGTTTCTTCATTCCATTGTGCTGCTATTCTCACCCTAAAAATTTATGATAGTACTTTCAACTGCAACACTGTACTAAATTCCTTTTTTATGCTTATTTTACTAGTCCTCCTAAGGGGGTGAAGTTACCCATGGATCCAGAGGATGAGGAGTTATTGCATGATGATGATCCGATAACCCCAGTTGAGAAAGTCGGCATAAAAAGGAAAGCAAGGCCCACTGATAAAGGCGTATCTTGGCTAGTGAAAACCCAGTACATATCTCCTCTCAGTATGGAGTCAACAAAACAGGTATTGTTTAGTTATTTTCTAATAATTAACCATTACGACAATCGGTCCAATGCTTAGCCACATGATTTTTATGTTAAATGCAGTCTCTAACTGAAAAACAAGCAAAGGAATTGCGTGAATCGAGAGGAGGTCTGAACATTTTGGAGAATTTTAACAACAGGTCAGTTTTATGTTTATATTTCTTGTTTGGTATCGAAAACTTCTATATGGATATTGTTTGCATTTTTGTTGAGATCAGGATAATATTATTTTTCGCTTTCCTTAGGGAAGGGCAAATTCAGAACATTGAGGCTTCATTCAAGACAAGCAAGTCAAAGCCTGTTCATGCAGTCAACCACCAACTTTACCCTAGAAGGATATTACCACTTATCCCTTATTTTGAGCGGTACAGTCTTTATCTGTGATTTATTAGTAAGCACCTATGCATGTGAATTTATTTGAAGGTAAAAATGCATGGTGCTTATCTGGTGGGGGTGGGGGAATGAAGTGATTATGATTTTAGTTCACCTTGTGCAATACTTTAATTTTGTTTTATACAATATTTTCTTTCGTTTTTGAACATTTTTGGCTGTTTCTGATGAGGAACTTCATTTCATTTACAATCCATCCTCTATAATCTTTTCTTTTTCATTGAGCATGCATGTGGTTCCTTGCCTAACTTCCTAAGATTTGAGGATGTTAAGACTTTAGAGAAAGAGTAAAAGAACATATTATTTAATTGTGCTTCAAGCTGATTAAATGAGATGATATGGATGGGCAGTGTTAGAGAATTACATGTTATTTGATTAAATGAGATGATATGAATGGGCATTGTCAGAGAATTTTGTGTTGTTTTCCATTATTGGCATAAAATTAACAGCAAATTATTCAAATCTTGCAAAATATTGTTTCGAGTCTCATAATCTTTTCATTTCCTCGATACTACTAGAGATCAAGCATTATGGTGGAAAATTGTGTTGAAAATTGTCATAGACAGAGAAAATATTTTTTATTTCTCTTTATATTTTCCAATTTACAACTTCATTACATCCAATTTATATTACACTAGAAGAAAAGAAAAGGAAAACACGATCTACGAATTATGGAAATAAATCACCCTACCAAATAACTCTAAAAATACAATATATAATTAATACAATTTTCATTCTAGATTTTCTACACTTCCCCTCAAGTTGAACTGTAGATGTTGATCATGTTCAACTTGCAATTGAGATCATCAAAGGTGTCTCGAGATAATCATTTGGTAAAAATATCTGCGGTTTGTTCTTTTGTAGGGACACACGTCGTGCAGATAATCCCATCTTCCACATTTTCTTTGATAAAATTTCTGTCAATTTCTACATGTTAGTTCTGTCATGTTATACTAGGTTGAGAGAAAGTTGATAACTGCTTTGTTATCACTATAAAATTTGATTGGAAATTCTATTTCAACTTTCAGTTCTTCAAAAAGTTTTTTTAACAATAAACCTTCACATATTCCTTGTGCAACAACTCTAAATTCAGCTTTAGCACTGCTTCTAGCCATAAGATTTGGTTTTTTGCTTCTCTAAGTTACCAAATTTTCCCATAAAAATGTGTAATATCCAGTGGTAAATCTTCTATCATCAATTGATCCAGCCTAATCTACATCAATGAGTACTTCAATTCCTTTCCTTTTATTTTTTTGAAGAGCAGTTCTTTCCTTGAGGCGCCTTTCAAATATTTGAGGATTTTGTATATTGCTTTGGGAGAGTGCATATGTTGACTAACTATGCTTACTGCAAACGCAATGTCAGGTCTGGTGTGTGAGAGGTAGATTAACTTACCAACTAGTCTTTGATATCTATTTGTTTCCACTGAGTTCCCTGTATCCTTGGTCATTTTTTCCTTCCTTAATAGGTGTGTTGCTTGGTTTGTATCCTAACACACCACTTTCACTCAAAAGATCAAGAATGTATTTTCGTTGGGAGACACTAATACCCTTCTTTGATCTTGCAATCTCTATTCCTAAAAAATATCGTGTTTGTCCTAAGTCTTTTACTTCAAATTCAGTAGCTAAACACTCATTCAATCTTCCCATTTCAGCCATGTTGCCCCTGGTTAGGATTATATCATCAGCATATACAATTAGGATTATTTTTGTCACATCTCTAAATTGTTGAAAGAACATGGTGTGATCAGATCGCCATTGCTAGTTGAAGAGAAAGATTATAAATTTCTTCTTATTTAATATGAGCTATACATCGTCCCTTTTATAGTATAAAGAAGGGAAAAATAAAAGGAAAGAAAAAATTGCCTACCAAATCTAAAGATTACAATAATCAATCAATCCATTAATTACAACTCTAACTATGGAAATAAATAATTCCATTAATTACAACTCTAACTATGGAAATAAATAATTCCTAAAATTATCATGATTTCATCACTCCCCCTCAAGTTGGATCATAAATGTTTATCATATCCAACTTGAAAATGAAATCATCAAATTTCTGTCTTGATAGTCCCTTGGTGAAGATATCTGCAGTTTGTTCTTATGTAGGAACATAGGTCATGCAAATGGTTTCTTCCTCAACTTTTTCTTTTATAAAGTGTCTGTCTACCTCTACGTATTTTGTTCGATCATGTTGAATTGGATTAAGAGAGATGTTGATAGCTGCTTTGTTGTCACAATAAAGTTTGATTGGTGGCTTTATTGTGACATATAGTTCTTCTAGGAGCTTTTTTAACCATAGTCCTTCACATATTCCTTGCGCAACTGCTCTGAATTCAGGTTCGGCACTACTTCTGGCAACTACGTTTTGTTTCTTGCTCCTCTAAGTTACTAGATTTTCCCATACAAATGTGCAGTAACCTGTAGTAGATCTCCTATCATCTGTTGATCCGGCTCAATTTGCGTCTGTGAAGACTTCTACTCCTTTTCTTTCATCCTTTTTGAAGAATAGCCCCCCTTCCTGAGGAGCCCTTGAGATATCTCAGTATCTTATAGACAGCTTCTAAGTGACTTTCCTTTGGAGAGTGCATGTGCTGACTTACCAAACTAATCGCAAATGCTAGGTCAGGCCTGGTGTGTGATAGGTAAATTAGTTTTCCAACCAATCTTTGATATCTGTCTATTTTTACAGGATTTCCTTCGTTGCCATTTTTTCTTCCAATATCTATGGGTGTATCACTTGGTTTACATCCTAGCATGCCAGTTTCAGTTAGAAGATCAAGAACATATTTCCGTTGTGATACACTGATCCCTCGTCTTGATCTTGCAACTTCCATTCCCAGAAAATATCGCATTTTTCCCAAGTCCTTTACTTCAAATTCAGTGACAAGACTTATTTTTAGTCTTTCCATTTCTGTTCTGTTGTCTCCTGTCAGAATGATATCATCAACGTATACAATCAGAATAGTTTTGGTACCATCTACAAACTGCCGCAGGAACATAGTGTGATTTGACTGCCCTTGGCGATATCCTTGATTTTTCAACACTTTTGCAAATCTATCAAACCATGCTCTTGGTGATTGTTTGAGTCCATATAGTGATTTCTTTAGCTTGCATACTAGACCTTTTTCCTCCTCCTTACAAAAGCCTGGCGGTAATGTCATAAATACTTCTTCCTCCAATTCCCCATTCAAGAATGCATTTTTAATATCAAGTTGCTGAAGAGGCTAGTCTAAATTTACTGCTATTGACAAAAGGACTCGAACTGTATTCAACTTTGCTACTGGTGCAAATGTCTCTATGGAGTCAATACCATAGGTTTGAGTATATCCTTTTGCAATCAATCGGGCTTTATACCGATCTATTGTCCCATCTGCTGTGTATTTTAAGCTGAAAACCCATTTACATCCCACAGGTTTCTTTCCTTGTGGCAACTCCATTACTTCTCAAGTTTCATTTTTTTCCAAAGCACGCATTTCTTCCAAAACTGCCTCCTTCCATTTTGGAACTTCCAATGTCTCCTGAATATTCCTCGGGATAATCGTATTGTCAAGGCGGGCTGTAAAAGTACGGAATTCTGAAGATAGAGCAGTATATGACATGAATTTTGAGATAGGGTGTTGAGTGCATGACCGTGGTTGTTTTCTGAGGGCAATGGGTAAATCGGTATTAGATAACTCTGATACTTTCTGAGGTGGAGCTACCATCGGTTCTGATTCTTTTGGTGCTTCAGTCATGAGATTCTCTATGTACTTTGATTTTGGCTGTCGTGAGTGAACTAATATCTCCTTATCCTTTTGTTTTTCTACGTCTCCCCCTGTATTCAAATTTTCCTTTGTTAATGGCATATTAGTATCGGATGGAGGAATAAATAGAGAAGGTTCAGGAGAGGAGAGACTGAAGTCAAAGAACCGATCTATTAAGATCTCCCCCTGAAGAGAGGTTTTTTCAAAGTATGGTTTATTTTCGAAAAAGGTGACATCAAGACTTACAAATGTTCGTTGTGTGGGCGGATCATAGCATTTGTATTCTTTTTGTGCAGGAGAGTAGCCAATTATGACACATTTAATTGCCCGGGGATCAAGTTTGTTTCTTTGATGGGGATGGACATGTACGAAGGCAGTACATCCAAATACTCGTAAGGGTAGATTGGACGAGAAGTTGGGAAATATTTTCGGAATTTTTGGATGGGAGTTTCAAATTTAGGGCTCGACTAGGCATTCGGTTGATGAGGTAAATGGATGTAAGGACAGCATCCCCCCAGAATTTTTTAGGCATGTTTGTAGTGAACATTAGGGAACGGGCGACTTCTAATAAATATCTATTTTTACGTTCAGCAATCCCATTTTGTTGGGGAGTATCAACGCATGAACTTTGATGAACTATGCCATGTGTTCTGAGATAGTCGCCTAAGATGTTATTGAAGTACTCTGTGCCATTATCAGTGTGTAAGATCTGGATTTTGGTTTGGAACTGCGTTTGAATCATAGTGTGGAAGTTGATAAACACGCCCCGAACTTCAGATTTATCTTTTAGTAGGTAAATCCAACAAATTCGAGTATGATCGTCAATGAATGTGACAAACCATTTAGAGTGAGTACGATTTGGAATCCGTGAGAGACCCCATACATCGCTATGAATCATGGAGAATGGCTTTGATGGTTTGTATACGGATTTTGGAAACGGTGTACGCTGATGTTTTGCAAGTTCACAAATTTCACATTGAAGGTCAACTGTCTTTTTATTCAAAAAAATAGAAGGTAGTACACGTTTTAGGTATTAAAAGTTGGGGTGTCCCATTCTAAAATGCCATAACATAATTTCGCTATTTCTAAGGACAGACGCAGAATCACAAATTTTAATTTGACACTGTTTACCCACATCTGCCTTGTCAAAGTAATAGAGTCCTTCACTTTCTTTAGCACTGCCAATCGTCTTCCCCGATGATAGGTCCTGAAAAACACAGTAAGATG